TACCTTTAGCAGCGCTTACTCTAATTTTTTAATTTTTTTTTACTAAAAACCTATAGCAGCGCTTAGGGCATAAGCGTTGTCTATGTGGCGATGTCTAAATTCAATTTTGGCATAGTGTATGGAGAATCCATGAGGACTTTATCGCCACTGCTTTAAGGGAAAGGCGGTGAATCCCTGGTAGCTCGAATCGTGGCTGCTACAATTGTGGTTGCTTCACGATGTACAATAGATTAAATAGCTCTGGAACCTACCATCATTGATGGATCTGAAATAAGATATGAGAAACAATATTAATCTTCAGAGGAGATCGAAAATAGAGACCTACAATTCAAATTTAATAGATATGAATTTGTAGGTCAAGGAAGCTTCAATTTAGAAAATCGAGGGATGAATTTTAAAATGTGAAAAACATGGGAATCAGATGTTGATTTTCATAGACGAGGCCATTGTTTCGTATTGGAACTAGAATTGATCTGTGAACAATTGACGTGGTTCACAATAGTGGACTCTAGCTTCTGATATGGTGGAGAATGAGTGGGTCTGCAAGGTTAACACTCTAACACCCAAATCAGTCTGAGAGTGAGAAAATGCGAATGAGATTTAAAATTTGAATTACATTAGAAATGGCGTGTTCTCCCTTTTATATAGTATGATAGTATGACGATTATAACAGTCCGCTGGTCTATCGACACAAGATACAAGAGTCTGTCTTCTTGATCTAGGATTGCATACATGTCTTGCACGCAATCTAGTTAGTCATTTTGCTTTATGGGCCGTAATTATTGGACCCTCAAAGCGGCCAAACCAAAACTTAAATATTTTAAAATTAAAATCCAAAATATAAATTATTAAAATAATATACTATCTTAATAAAGATAATTTGTAACAAAATTAATATACAATGATATTTTTGTAATTTAGAGTTGATCGGACGGAGGAGGGACGGGGTAAATATCAACACTTCACCATCAAAATTTTAAACGTTTAATCTTAATTTTTAACACTGGAAAAAATGCCGTGAATGCCTCAACTCGATGAGTGCATGGAATAGTTATCCTTTATTCACCCATCAAACACAAGAACAAATTAACATTGAATGTGATTCTATTTCTAGCTTAACTGCATTAAGAATAATCCATAATTCAGATTCATGTTGAAAGTCATAAACTATTTTTGAAGAGTTTGATATGACCCATGCATCAATTGAGATATTGTATAATCCCTTATATTTCCATTTCCATATCTATACACTTCATTTATTGAGATTAAAAGCGCCACTACACTTTTATACATTTAAAAAAGGCATTACTCCAAAACAGTTAATCTTTAGTGCAGGATTAGTGTGAAGCACTTAAACAATAATAATTGCATGAATGCATCTTATCATTATATACTAATTATAATAATTTTTATTTATTTATTCATTTTATGTACATAGTAGTTATAATCTCATAAAGCTATACAGTACTTATTCTCCGTGTCTGAAACCCTAGGAGAGAGAATTAGAATTATTTCATATTTTCCAATTTGTGATGCAAAATGGTTTTAGTCTAAAACTGGCACATACATTAATCTAATTATTTGAAATGTTTATCAAATATTCCTTACTGAATAGAATAATAGCATATTCTAGAAACAGACGCTACTTAAGTATTTTTAAGTCGACATAGAAATAAAATGTGCAGAATAATTCATAGGGATTTTTCACTACTTAAGAATTCACCTGCTACTTTATGATTTTGACATCCACATTAATTCACTTTTTTATAATTACGTAAGGCATTGGTTAATTTGAGATTAGAAGATTTAAATTACATATTAATTAAATTTATTTTATATATTATCTCCGTTTTTTATTACAAGTTATTTTTCACTTTTCATATATATTAAAAAATTATTATAATTATTGTACGAAAATAAAAATTTATAAAGATTAAAATTATTTTTCATTAATGATATGTGAAAGATAAATTTACAATTGAAAAAAAAGAAAAGATAATAAATATTTAAGAATATGATAAAAAAATATTATTAATTATTCATTGAAATTGTAAAGTGACTAATATTATGATACAAATTTATTTTCTAAAACCACTTATAATAAAAATAAAATAAAGGGAGTAACATATACCATTAATTTAGTTCCTTTGTGGTTAAAAATTCAACAGTTAAGTTATTGAAGCGATATAATTTTGGTGTTACACTTAACAAAACATGGAAATTTATGTCATTATTTTTAAATTTAAATAAGAAATAGTAAATTTAAAAATTTAAATGTTTTATTTTGATTTAACAACTCTTAGTACAATTAACTAATCATTTATAAGTGTTGAAAAAAAACTACTGTATTTATGCACAAAATAGATTCAGTTCAAAAATATTTTGATTGGTTTAGACTCCACCTAGATTTTATAATTTTAGTGGATGGTTGGATTGGATTTCACCTAAATTTAATAATTTTGATTAGATGAATGGCTTAAAATATTATTGTATTTTCTCTCGTTGATTTGGAGCTGAAATTCCACTTAAAAAACTTGTGGTTGATCATTTTACATACTAATAAATGATAATAAAGTACATTTAATTTAGTGGTGTTCCTTTAAGCATGCACCAAATTAAAGATCTTAGAGATATGCTATAATTGAAATAATTGTAATTAAAGGTTATAATATGATTTTGTGTGGCTTACTACGTGTACATGAGACTATATGAACACCAATCAAGTCTCCAAGTGCCAATCACTATCCAACACAAATAAATAAGTAGTCATTATTGATAATATTGAATATGGCTCATTCATAATGTGAAGATTATTATGTATTATTAAAAATAATTTATATTTTTAAAATTACTATAGATATTGTAGAGTATAACTTATATTAAACAAATTATTATGAATATTATTGAATATAATTTATATTGTGAAGATTATCATGAAAGATATAAGAGTTCATTTTGGATAATTAAGATTAGAGTTTAAATAAATTTAATCATATATATATGAAGTTCATCTGATGTTACATTTTGGTTGGAAAAAAAGTTACTTTTTGAGTGATGTTACATCTGATGTTGTTTTGGCCATAAATGAAGTTCAAGATGACTGGTTGACACGTCTTGGATTCATTGAAAGTCAGAAACAAGTTAGTTTTATTTTAGAAGCAAGGGCAAACTAGAGTTACTTCATACGAGAAAATTAGCTGGAAATTTATGATTAGTCAATTTCTTGCATAAGTGGAGACTAATTGCAAAAGTAGATGATTCTTTATCTTAGCACTATCATGGATTTATTTTGGATCATATGGTGCATGATTTATGGGATATAGATCTTCTGTTGCATAAATCTCTACAGCTCTTTCTCATATCTCTCATATTTTTATCTCTCTCATCTATTTATTTTTATTTTTATTTTTTAATTTTTCTCTCATAACACACAAAATCAAAATTGGAGTCATACTTGACAGTAGAGGATCCAAACACTGATTTATGACTTATTATTATTCAGACACTAAACTGGTCTTTTGAATCTTCAAATTTATTATTTCATTACTTTAAATCTCTAAGAAATCCTTTAAAACTTAAATCAATTTACTGGATAATTTTAAAAATCAGGAACTCCTAGTTTTAGTAGAAATTTATTTAAATTTAATATTTATTAATTCAAATCTAATAATAATATTATGTGTTATTTTAATGGCTTAAATGCAGTTTTGGATCTTTAAATTTCTCAATTGTTTGATTTTGATCCATTAAATTTTAATTGTTTGATTTTGGTCTTTCAATTAATTGTTTGAGTTAGGCCCTCCAAATTTCAATTGTTTGAGGACCTCTCAAATTTTTCTGTTATGTATTTGATAGTCCCCTAATGACATGAAGACTAAATTTCTCTTTTTTTTTTGTTATTTTTTTATTTTTTATTTTTTTAAATTTTCTTGTCTATAATTCTTTTTTTCTTCTCTTTTTAATAATTAAGCTTTGAATGTAATATCTTGAAAATCTTAAATATTTGATTCAACATATGTCTAATGGAAAACTATTTGACAACAAAAAAGATAGAACACTAGCTAATTAAAATAATAAACTCTTTGGTCAATAACTCCCCCATATTTAAACATAAAGTTTTGAAGTCTAACAATCATATTGGTCATATAGAATTTCAATCTTTTTATAATGGATATTGTATGTTTGTCTCTATATTCTAAAATAATTTTGTTAAAAGGTTCACACATATTATTGGTTAAAGAGTCTCTTATTTTAATTAGCTAATGGTCTATCTTTTTTGTTGTCAAAATAATTTGCTATTCAAAATGTTGAATGAAATAATTAAGATTTTCAAGATATTTCGTTCAAAGTGTAACTATTTAAAAGAGAAGAAAAACATAATTGTAGAGAAGAAAATTATAAAAAATGAAGTAAAAAAAGAAAAAAAAGTAAAAAAAAAAAAAGAAGAAGAAAAATGCCCTTTTTTTTGTCCCTTATTTATACATTTGGGTTCATATTGGTCTCTTAATTATTTTCCGTGTCATGTTGGTCCCTTAACTTTCAAAATATTTTATTTTAGTCCTTTTTGTCTAATTAGAGACGGAAAAATTTAGAACCCTCCGACCTTGTGTCGCTTCTCCGCATCTTAGATAGAACCCTCCAGCTCAAACATATAAGCCGCTAGGACAGAAGGAATGTCATGTGTTTTTATTGCGTCTTGCAAAGAGTTTACAGTTTTAACTTCCTTCTATAGCGCACAAAGCTCATTCTAAAGATTGGTGCACTTTAGATTCATAGCTTCAACCTTCTCTTTTCAAGTATCCCTCTCCTTGAAGTGATTACTCGGAGCCAAGACGTTACCTCATCTAGCAGAGACGAGATAAAAGATAGAAGCAACTTTGAACATGCTATAAGAAAGCTCATAAGTCATTTTCATCTTATCCCCCTCGGGGGATATTCTGGACGAAGGATAAATTCGACGTTGAAATAATAGTTGTAAACTCCTCAGGCATGCGTGGAAACTAAGAAGAGAAAATATCTAGTATCTTTATGAAAGGACTCACCTCCCTGAAATCATCGTCCTTAGTAAAACGAGTTTGTTTCAGAGAAGCCTTTCCCCGAGGAGATGGTTGTTCCTCATCCCAAGTCCTCATGTTTGAAGATAGAGGCAACAATTGTTCCTCCACTGTCAAAACTGCCGCGACATCCACAAGTTTATCCACTTCGAGCACAGAAGGTGAAGTTTCTCTAGTTGGGGTAGCAGAAGACAGAAGAGTCAGAGCGGTAACCCCCAAAGGAAGGGGGAGATTCTAAAGTACTATTATTCACTACACTTCATATACCTTTAGCGTATGCAAGGCGGTAGAACATATGCATCTTGCTTACTTTGTCCACGCTATCTACAAAATGCAATTACACATGTAAAAAAGCATGAAGACTTTGTTCTCACCAAAAAAATTTCCTCTTCTCCTCATGATTAATTGCACTCAAGATCTTGCAAGTGTCAATCTGCCTTTTCCTCACTTCAGTAGGGAAACCTCACCAAGGCCGAAGCCTTTCACATAGCCAAGACCTTGAAACCATGATTGAGTTTCCTCCTTCATTATCACCTCATCCAATGAAAGAGATTTCGTTCGGGTGCAATAAGAGCCAACACCCTTGTTAAAGTGGATCTTAGAATAATACTTCAAATATGAAACTCGATAGTGGAGAATCGATGGGGATATAGTATGAAGAAAAATAAGTTGTATGGGTGAGGGGATTCACCAATATGAAACGTCCTAGAGAATCTCCCCAATCCAGAGTGAAGGGGTTGAACCACTGATGGACCGAATGAATGTAGATGAGCCCCTAATTATGAAAGTTATTGGGGGAGATACACCTTAGATGGAAGAGATCAAATAATAATATAATAGAGGGTTTCCAAGATTTGTTTCACAAAATAGTTTGAAAATCCTTACATATTCCCATGAACCTGAATGAAACTGAGAAAGGCAACTTTTAAATATTTCAGGATGACTAGCTCGAATTCAGAAAAAGGCAGTCGTCTTATCCTTGTAAACAATCACTCACAGAACAAGCTCATGAAGATGTCAAAAGAGCTACATATCCTATTCTCATCTGGTACCGAAAGGACCAACCACTCTGAAAATTTTCCAACCATAATGTCAGCATCAAGCGGGGTGGCCCCAATGCTCAAAGTTGAAGAAGTGCCTGTCAAATTTTCATCCACCCAATCATACATCGGTGCATCTGGTTGGAATTGAATATTTAAATGACCCATGCCTCCTCTTCCAACAAGATAGGAGGGGCATAAAGACCTCTTTGTGAGTTTTTATTTTGCTAACATTTGATATAAAGGTGTCTGACGACCCGGAAGAAGAAGTTTCTTCCTCCAAGGAAGTCTTAGACATCCCTTCAGACCCATAATCTTTAGATATGGATATAATTTATGCTCCTATGTGATCACTACTACAGGAAGGTTGATGAGAATCATGGGATGACCCAAATGAAGTTTTCAATTTAGAATCACTCACTAAATCGATAATGTTATCACTAATCCTAACTAAAAAGCAGGAAATGTTGAAGGGAGACCTTGAGTTACAAGGGTACCTAGTGGTAAGGAGTTGATGAAGCAATATGAATGAAAAAGAAGAAAGTTTTAAGTGATGCTTTGAATCACTCTAGTAATATTTTAAGGAAAATGGAACGAAAAATGTTTCTTTGGAAATGTAACTGAAAGCTTGAATGGTAAAAGGTTGAAGGAAATATCCAACTCACCTTATTTATAACCAACAACAGTTGAAGGATCAATACCAACCAATAACAGAGACTACAAGATTAACTATATTTCCAATCATGGATACAAGTTAAACTCAAGTGCACTTAAACTCTCTATGAATTTAACCACACCTTAGTTTTCCAAGTCATCACATGTATCAAGAATGGATGACGAAGCCTCTCAATGATAGAACGATTGGTGTAAGCCATAGAGGCTAATAGTTTTATTAGAACTTGGTACTTATTTCGTATTATTTAGTAATAATTAAAAGGAATTTTTATTATGTTTGTTTTTCTAAAATAATAAATTCCCTAGAATAGCAAGTTCGTTCAATGAAACCCTAAGTGTGACTTAATCATGAGATTCCATTAAACATAAGGATGATATTCTTAAAGTATCCATATTCGAGATTTATTGTAAAGTGCGATAATATTAAAGCATTGAGACTATTATTTGGATACACTGATGATCACATCTCATAGATCATGGATAAAGAGTTGTCAAGTCTTCACATAGGTGTTAAAATTAGGAGTAATATTTATATTGGATTGACCCTCTATGAGAATACTACACATAATGTTATGTAAATTATCATAAGTTATTTTCATGGTGATAATGGTGTATACCACCCTTAGACCTGAAATCATTATGAAACCTAGACGTGGAGTCGAGTACTTTATTACTGATAAAAAATTGTCCGTAAATGGATGACCATAAATATAGTTGATGGTACTCCACAAATCATGTTATGGGACATGAGTGACCTAGATAGAAATTCCCCATCCTACATAACGGGATAAATGTTTAAGGGCCCAATATTAAATTGGACAAGAGTGACACAGTTATGCCTTGTGTTCAATATATATATGGGGGAAAAAGGGTAATTGTACACATAAACATTATCACAAAAAGATTTGTCAGAACACATGACATTTACGTGACTTAGGTAGCAGTGATGTGTTGCTAGATACCGCTCACTGTGTATTATATTAAATGTATGATTTAATATAATTGACAAAGTCATGAGAACATACAAGGTCAAGAACATAAGGATAGATTGATGAGTGTTGTACCCTAAAATTTGCCCTCTCATTTCTCAAAGGATCATCCTGGACCCTCATGTTTGCTTCTATCAAGTTTCAAGTCTTGGATTACAATTTTCCAAGAAAGTCATTCACAAGGGGAAAATGGTCAAAAGCACACTGAAAAGTCAAACTTTAACTTTTTGATCAAAATCAAGTTTCAACAATCATATTTCATCAAGACAAGAAGTTGGTTCATCAAGAAATCAAAAGTAAGAAATTACTATGAAAAATCAATTTTTTAAGCACTTAGAAAATTTTCAAAGTGTTAAGAAAATATGACAATTTCAGAACTTCTGGGCCAGATTTCACGCAAGCACAATCAAAATTTGCAAAGACGGTTCAGAACATGACTCTTCAATCAGAACATATGGAAACTGTGTTCATTGGTCAGAACATGACTCTTCAGCATATGGAGGCTACGTTCTACACTTTAATCAGAACATCACCAAGTCCCAAAACCTCGTTTGGGCAGACTACTGCACTGCTATGGAACAGTCCTACATCCAGCTGCCATAATGCTCCAAAGTGCTGCTGATCCAGTCCACGTCTGCACTTTCTCAAACCCCATATTTACACCAAATTAGCATATGAAAGCTGTGTTTAAAAAGCAATGGAACAATATGCCAAAAAGGTTTAAATCCCATTTGTTTTCCACCCCAAAACCACAACAAACTCATCTATAAATAAGTTGTTTCATCACATGTTCAAGGGGATGGCTTTTGAAAAGGGAGAGTGATAAAATATAAAAAAGAGAGAAAATAAAATATTCAAACATTCTCAAAACCCAGAATTCTCAAAACAATATGTTTGTTCTTCCCTTTGAATCAAAGAACATAACATTTTCTGTTACATTTCCTGCTGACCCCAGAACATTCAAAGACAGTAGCTCAGGTCCCAAACACACGCTTCAAATTCAAGGTAAGTCATTCTGACTTTGAACTTTTCATTCAGAATATCATTAAATATGTAGATATCATATTGTTGAGACTGTACATATCATTACCTAAGTAGAAAAATTGTGGATCAGAACTTCTTGAAGAAAACTAAGCTCATAATTAGGATTAAAACTTCTATAAATTGTCGTGTTTTTATTTTCCTATTTTGTTGTTGTTAAGAACTGAGCAAGTTGCAGATGCTCTGGCTAATGTAAGGAAAGAGGTGAAGTGTAACACAAAACTTGAGTTTTCTTTCCCACTGTTTTGACACAGTATCTGAACTTCTAGATTTTTTCTCACTGTTAGCACAACATCAGAACTTTTATATTTTTTCTCACTGTTAGCACAGTATCAGAACTTCTAGATTTTTTTTCTCACTGTTAGCACAACATCATAACTTCTAGATTTTTTCTCACTGTTAACACAACATCAAAACTTCTAGATTTTTTCTCACTGTTTTAGCACAACATCAGAACTTCTAGATTTTTTCTCACTGTTAACACAACATCAAAACTTCTAGACTTTTTCTCATTGTTTCAGCACACATAGAACTTCTAGGCTTTCTTACTGTTTTAACACGCACATAACTTATAGGTTCTCCTCACTGATTATAACACAACACATAACTTCTGGTTTCCTCTAATGTTTCTTTCAGAGCTTCAGCGCGCAGCAACCCAGAACTTATGGTCCCCTCTAACGTTTCTTTTCGAACTACAACATGCCTAGCATCAGAGTTTCTGGTCCCTTTCATTTTTGTTTTCAGCAACATGCTGATTCTGTTTTCATTATTTTTTTCCTTTTTCTTTCTTATTCTTATTATTTTCAGCATTAATACCTTTTTTTTATTAATATAAAAAAGACATAAAAATATTTTCTTTTTATTAACTAATTGTTCTTTTTTTCTTTATTTAATTTATTAAGACAAATTTTTTTATTTAAAACAAGTCCTTTCCTTTTCTTATATTGTACAATTCAATATGGTTGTAATAGATAATTAGGATTTAAGTTCTTGCAAATCCCCATTTGTAATTATGTATCCCCATCCCTGAAATGATGTAATAGCTTAGGATTTTATTTTCCGCATTCTATTTTCGCTTTCATATATTGTTAGTAATTAGGATGTATGACAAGATAAAATCAATAAATAGATAACCATAATAAAAGACTAAATGCATGTAAATCAAACACACTTGCACACTAGCACCTCTAGGGTAATCTCACTTTGTTGTCTTTCGGAAAATAGTCATGTCCCTCGAATATGGACGTTTTAACAAAGACCCTCGATAAAAGATCATAGTCCCTCGATGACCCTCAATGTTGCCTTTAATAAACGATCTAGTCCCTATACGAAAATTGCTAAAACATCCCATAGGTTGCCTTCTATGACTATACAAACGTCCCACACTCGTCCCCTCACATCCAACGATGGGGCTTCTTACCAAACCAAGGGTAAGATAGCGACATATAAAGGAGGAGCAAAAGAACATTTAAGACCTTTTGAGTAGGTAGGTTGCTCCTACTTTTTCGCTTGCTCACAACATAAACATTTTACACACCAACACTCTCACTTTGAAACATTTTCAAAAGACAAACACTTTGTACGCGTTCTTATAGAAACGAGAGCCATTACAAAGAAATCTTTTCAAAATACTTTCAAAACCCACACCACAAGCATATTTTCAAACAAAATCAAGTGATCTAGCAAGCAACTAAGAGCTCGTAGATAACTACGGATGAAAAGGGTGCTAACACCTTCCCTTTTTATAATCTACCCCCCGAACTCAAGAAACATCTCTAAAGGTCTTTCCCGTTCTTTTCAGTATTTCCTTTTGGATAAAAGAATAGTCGGTGGCGACTCTTGCTATCTGCGAAAATTGTGATCAAACGTAAAACACCCAAGTCAGTTCTCCCACCGCATTACAGAACTGGCGACTCTGCTGGGGAATTTACTTAAAAGTGGGGTTACCTTAGGGCTAGATCACTTTTATTTGCTTTTCATTATTTGATTTGTTTGCTTTATATTATGGTCCCTTGTTAGGGTTTGTTTTGATCCTCTACCTGAATCTGGGGCCCTTTTTTAGGTAAGTAGCAATAAGTTGTGGAAACTGTGCGGGGTATACCGATATGGTCTAAGCAATAGTTACGTTAGTGTGACACATTTGTTGGTACCGGTAGCCCTTAAGTAGTCAAGGAGAATACGAGGCCGCTGTGTGGTGTCATGAAGCACTAACTGACTTTAGAACCTTTTCTTGAACAACTTAGCCATTAGGAAGTAGTGAGGTAGTCGGCTTTGGTGCAGTCTGAAGTTGGTTGATACTCGATACTACGCTCATTGAGATCAGACTTTCAGGATATTTTGGTCTCCATTAAAGAGGCTTGCGCTGAAACAATTCCCGATAAAGAAAGATTAGTGATATTGAGATCCCCTAGAACCTAGTTACAATTACTAGGACAGGTTGAGCCAACCAAACTTCAAGAGGGT